GAGGCAGTGTGCTCCCAGCTTCCCGGGGATCCTCTCCAGCTTCCCGAGCTCGGCACTGCACTCCCCTGCAGTCAGTGTCCTACTTAGCTGAGTTTCAGTCTCCAGCTCCTTTGGGAGCTTTCCTGGTTTTCAGTCTATCACCTCTATCCACCACCTATCACAGGCATCGTGTGGGGTCTGTCATTTTATTTCTTTCTCATTATCTTTACATTTAAAAAAATGCCACGCTCTGGTTCTTCCAAGAACTTCACATTACTGCAGTCCTGTCTTTCAGAGCCGTGTCATTTTCTGTCGGTGCTTTGCAGAATTTCCCCTCTCCGTTTGTTTCTTGGTTTTACTGGAACATTGTACTCTGCTCATAAAGGATACGGAGTCTCACAAATTGTAGCAGTTCATGCCTCGCTGCTTCTGATGTGTGTCCAGCTCAGTTCTAATTGCAGAATCGCACAGTTTCCTCTCCTTGGCATCCTTTGGAGCAGCATAGACCTGGATCACAGCGGAGTTAAAAGGCTGTCTTCCTGAACAAGTCATGATGATAATTAAGTTGCCTGGGTTGTAGCCAAGTGGTGCTTTTCTGTCCCTATCACTTAGGATTGTGCCAATTCCTCTTTTATGCTTTATTTTGTCATGTGAGAAAATGATCTCGCTATCTGCTGTCTCTCCCTTGCCTGGCCACCTGGCTTTTAAGAGGCCTTCTATGTCATGTCGCTACCTTTGTAATTCATTCATTAGCAAGGATATTTCACCAGGGTGCCAACGCGGCCTTACATTCCAGGTTCTGTTAGAACTAGAGAGGGGAGGTGATTTTTACCTCTTAGACATGCTGATAATAAAATACTACATATAGTTCTGGCTTCCACACTTTAAAAAGCATGCAGGAGAATTTCACTGGATCAGAAAAGTTACAAAAAGTCATTTGAGGGCTGTAGGAGATGTGTTCCAACGAAATGTATAGGGAGCTGAAGGTGTTTAGCATATCAAAAGGAAGATCAAGGAGAGATAATGATTATGATATATGAGTACCTTCACTAGAAGAAAATACAGAGCACTAAAGGCTTTTTCAGCCGAGTGAAGAAAAGCATAAAAAGAACCAAAGGCCAGATATATTCAAATTAAAAATAAACCAGGAATGTATTTCTAACAGTTTGGGCGATTTAACACACTGAACACAGTTTCGGAGAAGTGGTGGATTCCCCTCAGATCTTCAAATCTTCCTCCACAGGATCTGTACCCTGTTTCTGCAGTGACTTACTGGTCATACTCGGGCACATGAGCTTGAGGCACTTGCGTGGTTTTTCTCCCTTCTGATCTCTCAAGGTTTGAAAATCCAGATCCGCACGGTGCCTGATAATGTTCACATGCAGAGCTGATTTGGGGGGGACCCTGGGGGATCAGCTGGGCAGAGGGCGATCATTCTGGTGCCCCTGCCCACCACTTCTCATGCTGACACAGGTGTGCACTGAAGGGACCATACAGTGTGGAGCAGTGGGGTAGTGCAAAATACTCCATCTGCCCTAAAAACTAAAATTCCCTGGAATGTGATTTATAGCCATGCTTGAAAATCTGTCTGTGGAGTTAATGGCTATTTTTACTGTAATTCTTCACGCTGACCTCTTCGCAGGTGGAGAACTTTCTCTTTCAGCGACAGCATGTAAATAGTAATTCCGTAAGAAACTGAATTGTCCAAAATTACTGTTAATCTGCTGCTTTCAGTGTGAGAGCTGCCGGTCATATGCAACTTACGGCTTTCTCAAAATGGCTGTAATTTTTCATGGTCCTCAATTTGAGAACGCAAGACAAAAATTTCTACCGCCGCGATGCTCATTCTGCACCACTTCCTGGTAACATTCAAGTTCACCTTCATCCTCCAAGCATCTTTGTTCTCTATGGAAACAGTTGTAGGTGACAAACGTCGTTGAAGAGAACATCTTATCTGATGTAAAAGTCAGCATTGCTAAAGCTTCACAGCTTGGAATACTTGTGTATACTCAGTAAAATGTAAAGGGGCATTGTCAACTTGAACATTCCAAAACTGTTTATCTTTAGAAGTGTTTTGTTAACTTCAGTGCTTGTAAGGAAATCTAATCCAAAAAAGAGTTTTGTGGGCTTCCTGCAGATGTCTGTAAAGGTTATTCTAGGATAGGGGTAGTGCTCAGGTAATGCCTCAGTAAAACCAAGCTTACTTCACTAGTTTGGTCCTATGCAAAGATCTGGTGCGCGCAAAGTAGATCTAACAAAAAATGATTTAATTTTTTTTGTAGGAAAATATGATGTGAGAGTGAACAAATTTTTTTTTTAATGAAACACTCAACTATTAATGAAAAAAAATTTGTGATTTTTCTTACAGTGTCTGTAAATTGGAAAGTCTTTCAACTGAAATGCATGTGCTCGCCTCATGCTGAATGCTCCTTGAGCCTCAGCACCTTCGAGTTAGACTCGAGCTGCATCTCCTGCGATGCCCGAGGAGCGGACCTGGCGCAGAATGAGAAATGTGCTTTCCCCTGACCGTGTATGCGCAGAGACCCTCTTAGCCTAGATTTCCATAAAGCGCAATGGTGGCACTCCTTAACAGAATAACTCTAGTTTTTTATCAGATTATCTGAGGACCCTTCAGATATTTTTCCTGTAAAATGGTGAAGGCTTTCAGGGGGAAAAAGCTTCCAGATCACTCCCTACCCTTTGTATGATTTTAGGAAATAACAAGCTGGTGATGGGCTGTTCATGGAGATCTATCAAGCAGACAATAGAGACGTATTTCTCAGGTAATCTGTTCTAGATGTGGTGCTAATAGGAATACTTTATAGCTGTAGGAAAGGTGCATGGGTAAAATCGAATTGTCAGTTGCTTCTTTTAGCCTAAATAAAAAATGGCACGGACTACTAATGTTGCAAAAGTGCTGTAACTTCAAGAATTGGAGAACTTGGCGCTTGTAGCTCTGATGTAAACCCTGTAATTTTACAGTCATTGCTGTTTCCTGATGCATGTAGCGGTGTTTTTGTTCCAGTGGGGGTAACTTTTGTTGCCAATTTTTGAGTCAGGAGTGGTTTCTTTCTGCATTACTTGTATCATAACGACTTTCTGATTCTTTTACTGACTTAACTAGTTCTTTCAATGATTATTGGTTAAAGTCGCAATATTGTTGCAGAGACATATTTTTGAGGGGTATCTGTTTTGAAATAAACTATCAAAGAATATTTAACACCACTGGCATCTTAACCTACTGCAGCTTTGAACGCTTGATGACAATATTTGTTATCTTAAGGAGGGCTTCATACTACTCACTGCAGCCTAAATAAAAATTTGACAGTCTATTTACATGTACAAAACTTGTATTGACCATCAGCCTGCACTGACAGCAACAACTTTAGTCTTTCCTTACTGTTGTTAATTTCATTTCGCGCTCCTTACTGTCCAGAGTTCAAAGTAAAAGGTAAACATTAGGCTCAGAATGCTATGTCAGTTAAAAATCTTTTTCAGTCAAAAATGAGTGAACCCTGTTACTGGCTGAGCTTTGCAGTAGTTTAATTTTGACAGCTGCGCGACAGGCAGTAAATGTTTTTTAAAAAATTAAAAGGAAATTTTCCTGTAGCAGATCTAATCTGCCTGCGATAGCACAGCGCCCATTTTATGAAGCCGCATTTATTCTCATAATTGGCTATTTCCTGTCCTTAAATGCCTATTTATTCATGTCTGCCACCTTTTTCTCAGTTTATTGGCCCTGCGGTCACCACATTATCGTTCTCTTCAAAATCAATTGACATTTTATGGAAAGAGTTTGCTAGATGTTTAGTTTAGTGAGAGTGGCATATAGAACATGTGCTTGTCACATTAAATAATCGTTGAAAGTATTCAGGGGCTTAACTATATATAGAATATATTCATTAACTGTATTTCAATATTGTTATTGTTTTTATTTAGAGTAATGAATTGGCGAAACATGACTGGGGAAGGCTACAAGTAGAAGTATTCTGAATAGTGCTTTTTCATAGAAATCCCCGTGCAGCACAAGCTGGCAGTACTTTTGAAACAGGTGTTGAATTTCTAGACATGCTCAGAGTTGCAATCTAGGAAGGTTGAAACTTGTGGAATACATAAATTAAAATATTAAAACTTCTAAGCTGTGCAGAGAGTAATTACTAACCCTGAGGTATTCTTGTTTTAATTAAAAGCTTATGGTCGGCTCTTTGTTAGCAGTGATACTGTTTTTCCTTCTATGCTCTACCTTTTATTTTTAAAGATGTTGCAAAGCTGTTTCTGCTGGCTGGCAGATGCGGAGCCATTCTTCATTAGTTCAGTGTATGGTACAGCCGGGGTTATTCAGAAAGGGATCAAGCAGGGTGGATTGGCTTCAGCCACCCTGTGCACTTATAAGCAGTCCCTGCTCATTACAACGTGAGGCATCTTATTGTATAGGGGGTTGTGGCATCAAATTTGATCCTGGATGCCTGCACGAAGCGTTGACCCTGAGCCATGCACAGCTTACTGCAAGGGAGCTGAGCCTTTTGGGTGGTGCTCAAGTCCTGTTTTTCTATGCTCCACCATGTTAACTCCAGCACAATTAAGTCCACACAGATTTATTTTTTTTTTTAAAGAGAGGATTTTTACTGTTGTTAAGATGAATGGTACCAAAAATACTCACATCAAAACTTAGGTTTTGTGTTCATATAGGAGATGTAATTAAAAAGTACAATTTGCATCTGAAGCTGGGTTTTTAAAATTCTCTTTGCGTTCGAGTAAGGCATATTAGCTAACCTTGTTTCCACTGTGTGTACGTTCTTTTTAATATCTATTGTTCACATGCATAACAGGTTGCAGCTTTAAAAAAAAGAAAAAAAAAAGTTAAGCAAGCAGCATGGGTTGAAGCTGAAGAGAAATCCTTCCAGAAGCTGCAAAGGAATTTCTACTTATTTGGTTTTTTGTCCAGTTGAATGCGAGTAAGCCCATGTGCTGTTGTTTGATGTGAAGAAAACCATATGCTAACAGAGAATGTTTGTTGCTAGGTGCCAGGTTGACCTGTCGACCCTGAGCAAAGAGCAAACCCACAAGTTGGAGATGCCGCTGGAGGAGGGAGAGGGATGCCTGGTGCTGCTGGTCACTCTCACAGCCTCGGCTGCAGTCACTATCTCTGACCTCTCCGTCAACTCTCTGGAGGACCAGAAGGAGCGAGAGGAGATACTGAAGAGATATGTATGGAGTTCTTTTTTGCCCTTTGATGTAAAATGTTTGCTTATATAAATACTAACTATCAGGGGGCAGAAATCTAAATATATTCCTTATATCCTTATCGCATTCAGCCAATGACAGTTGTTTAAACTAGTTACTATTATTATCATGGGTGGTACAGGTAACGTCGAGAAGGCTACAAATCCTCTTCATACAATAAAGTATTTTTTGCATAGTAACTCAGCTATTTGCGGTGATGATGTGACATAAAAAGGTTAATTTTACTTCCTTGCAGATAATTTTTACCAAGCAGAAAGTAACTGAGGGGTCACTTTGTGACTGTACAGTTTCTAGTGAGTGTTTATGCCAAATGGTTTGAGGTGCCAATAGTTTTCAGCTTTTTTCTGAGCGTCTACTAAAGGGCAAGAAAACTTGGTTTTTGTCTGCACATTAGAGGTTGGAGCAGTATTTTGTATCATGAAAGTAATTGTTTTAGACAATATTACCATTTCAAAACATTCTGAAGCAAATTATTTTCATTTCCCAGCATCCTCACATTACACAGAATCCATGTAGTTTTATCAAAGCAACAGAGAGGGGAGCTCTTACTCCAGCATTTGCTAGTACCTAAATCACTAAAAGTAACTGTCTGACTACAAACGGAGAAAGAAAAAGAAAAGAAAAAAAAAAAAAAAGAAGCTATTTCCACTTAAAATTACAAAGCTTTTATTGTACAATGCTGCCAGGTGTTTAGAAAGGCTTCTCTAGACACTCAACCATTAAACCAAGCTTTGACTAACAAAGAGCCGCTTAGTTTTTTTTTTTTAGATTTTAAAATATTCCTATTCCGTGACTGACATCCTTTCAATAACTGAATTTAATAAAGATGTACCTTATCAGGCTGTGCAGATAACATGAAGTGCTAGTACTAATGCTGTACAATATTCTTCAAACAGATTAGCAGGATGTGCGCTTCAGCAAATTTATTCTGGCTATCTCCACTGAATCAGCTGTCTGCTAATGCTTGTACAACTCATACACCAATAGTGTTATCATAAACACAGTTTAATAGAGGTGACTTAGTGAGGCTAAACATAATATTCCTAAACCAACTGAGAGCTAAGGTATTGAGCACCATCTTTGAAAAATAATTACAATTAAGAACGTTATTGCACATTTTGGAATCCACGAACGCAGTCTGTGATTGTCAGAATAGATCTTTATAAATATAATAAATTTCTGATGGGTACCTTTTTGAGGTGACATACTTCTTGCTACCAAGTGCAACAATATTGTATTTCTGTAGATTATTGTGTATGATGATATGGCAGTCAAGTGATACTGATGGTTTTGATAATTTAATAGCAGTATAGAAACATCTTATGACTGTGTGTTATTAATCGGTTTTCCTAAATTCTCAATTTTTTCTCCCCAGTGTAAAGCATAATTATGTGGTGTAAGATTGATCTATTTGTTCCAGTTTGTTTCATATTCATAGATACATGTTTTTTCTTATATTTACATTACTGTATGCGTTTGAAAACGTTTCGAAGATGTTCATATTGCAGAGGCATGAATTTCTCATGTTTTTTTGAAAATTGTAGCATCACTACATCTTTTTGATAAATTTTACTGGTTTTATTAAAATGACCAGTGGACAGCACAAAAAAGAAATGACAAGGATTGACAAAATTCAAATAGTTTATCTTCATAGATGTTTGATTTGTCTTTCGTATTCATATCTCTACTTCAGAACCGATACAAAGAAAGAGTATGCAATTAGCAAGAGGTACTGTTCCCCCTTGAGTTGGCTGTATTTTGGGGTTTATTTTTTGTCCTCTTAAAAAATCTAGCTTCCATTTGAAGGATGTATTTTGCACTCTTTCTGCAGCCAAAAACAGTTAATGAGCTGACCTTGCCATCAGATCAAATAACCTTGGAAAATGACTCTATTACTGTCATTTAACCATTTGTAGCTGAACATCAGAGCCTTACAAATTAAACAGGCATTACTGTTTGAACCATTATTTTACTACAATTGTCTGAAAAGATTAATTCCTTTTGGGGTGAGGAGGGGGGCGCATTAATGGGTACAGACCAAGCGAGATTGTATGACCTTTTCAGAACGGGTGTGCTGAACCCACAGTCCCCCTTGTCACAGTTTAAAAACCAGAGGAGCTAGTTTAGAGAAGAAGTTGTTAGCATTCCATTTTTATTATGACATTTCACAGTCATCCGATTTAATGTCCCTTGACCAGATTGTCCACCGTGAGACGATGGGCTTGAAATGTTATTTAGAGCATTGATAAAAGGTGAGCAGTTCTAAGATGACAGCGAGTCATAAGGCTGGTGGTGTGACATTAATTTTCTCCATAACAGAGATGGAATAAGACGTCATGGTGACAAGCTGTCAATCAGTACTGGCCCCTCAGTGTATCTCGATGCCATAGGATGGGGTATTGCTTCTCCCATAATAGAGCTGAACTGAGATGCTCTCCCTGACAGCTGCTGCAGCCATACAGAAAATATATTATACAGCCTTTCATTAAAAAAATAAAGAGGACTCATCTCCAGAGCATTTCAATCTTTTCCCATCTATTGAGGGCTGAAAAGATTCACAGCAAATCATGGAATCCTCTGCTATGGAAATTTCAGGCTTCAGAAACCATGCAGGTTTTGAGGCCTTCAACAATAATCATAAATAAGAAGACAGAATATCATCTGATAAATCATTACTTAAAGTTATGTATTTAGAGTAATGTATTAAAGTAATTTGCTTCTCCCAGATTCTCTGCTGTGGCATTGTATACATTTTCAGCAGTCTCCGCAGTCACCATGTGCAGTAAATGAATCTAAACCAGCTGACTTGCAGGAACTAAAAGTTCAAAAATAATTATTCTGCAGGATGCTAACAAAGGTACCGAAGTGAAATGCAGCACTGGTGCCTTTTTGCAGAATGAGCTTACCAGGGTGAAATTTGGAAAAAGGGGACTGTACGGCATTGCAGGAAGGGGACAGTTGCTTGGCTTGCTCTGTGTTTGGTTTTTGCTTTGTTTTCTTTCTGCAGCTTGGTGTTTGTTTCAGTCACTGGGAAACTTGGGTAAAATGTGGAAACATTTTTGTAAATCCTTTCACTTTCATTGTGGCATTACAGCAGAATTATCTCCATTGTGGTACTAGTTCTGATAAGGAGCTTCCAAACCTTGATTGTTATTGTAATAAATCAGGGATGGTGCCAACATGCTTTTGAACTATAACAGTGCTATCTGTAACACCGTCTCTGCTACCCTCAGCTTGTAAGTACATAAGCAGAGGGTTGAGTGTGTGCTGGTTGAAGTTGACCACCAGTATTTTTAAGCTGTATTTCTGATGACTAACATGTTAAAAATGCTAAAAATGTATTAACCATGCATGCATGGTTAATAGTAGTATGTGATAACATGCATGTGTGTATTAATATGTATGTAGCATGTGACTGGACTCCCCAATTCAGTGTACCGGAGTCAAACCTCCACTGTAAACATAAATGGTCAGTTGGGTCTTACGAAATTAGTATGTGTGATTTAACTTTTACAACTGTCTTATTAGTAAAAATGATGGGGATGCATTGTATATGTCTAACATTTTAATGGATAGGTTATCTATGCATAAACATACTGTAGTTTTTGCAAGCTGACATTTAATATTTCGTTTAAGAAGCACCTGTGGTTTTCATATCAGTGACGTTATTTATTCTGGTTTTCCATAACAGTCGATTTTGCCTTCATAATAAATTAGAGTTGTTGACTTGGTGTTTTACCCGAGGGTTGCGTTTTCTAGAAATCGGAACATTATCAGAAGCAGTGGAAAAGGTTCCACCTGCACTACATTAAAATTTTAGAAAAGGCCACAGGCATTCAATGCATTGGTCCAGATCTTAAAATACTTCAAAATATAGATATGTGCTAGTATTTATGAACAAGACTTGCAAAAACAACCAAAAATCAGGCCACATATATCTGTCATTTAAAATGGATTTGAAAATCTAATTTTAGTCCCTTCCTTTGGCGTTCCTCCCATAAGTTATCTGAAAATTGAATGATAATGCCACATTCAGTATTAATTGATTGCAGATTCAAAGCTGCATTCAATGTTCTATCGTTTGAAATTCTGCAACTTTTAACTTATATTCTGTTAGAGCTGGAGAATTTTAGCATATCACACGTAACTGGTGCAGTACTCCCAGTTTGTTACTTTCAGTTATTTGAAAAAAGAGCAGCAACAGAACACACTTTCCAAGTAGCTTTCTAAAGCTATGTTGGATGAATAAATTCAAGTGTTAGTCTACTCTTTAATTTTTCCTTTCTCTTTTTAATATATGTAGATATTGTAGAAATTTATGTTTAAAAAAATATTTATAGTAAGAGCTTTCTGCCATGGAATTGGAACTTTTAATTCCTTTTTTCATCTTTTTTGGACATGATTATTATGAAAATTATTAATTATAATCCTCTTTTGATTGTTTTTTGTTCATGTTATTTGCAAGCTATACACAAGCTTATATATGCTGCGTGCAAGCTTGCATATAATGATCAACTACAACAAAAACAATACTGGCCCTAAGTCACTGTTCAAAATATTACTGAAGCCATCAAAGGGAAAATGTGAATATAGATCTCACAAAGGTATTCAGGGAGAGGAAGTGTTTTATTGTTTGTATTAATTTTGTTAATACATTACTGTCATTTAAAATTTTGATGGACAGTTGTTCATGTATTGTTAGGGGATTAATTCAGTAGAATTTGTGTTATATTTAATCATTCGTATTCTAATTTGTCCTTTGCATTTTTCATTGGTAAGTTAAAGTTGCAAAATACTGAAAGAAACACTGACAACTGTATATTCTTCAGAAAATAATATTTAAAAGTATGAGTATGTTAGAATTAAACTAACTTATATCTGGCCTAGGGAGGAGACTATGAATATTGCTTTTGGTTTGTCTTTTTTGCAATCCAGAATTATATTTCTTTTTATATTTTTTAGAGTCCAATGATGATGTTCCATAACATAAAGGATGTGGGATTTCTTCAGGTGAAGGTCATCAGGGCAGAAGCATTGATGGCAGCTGATGTCACAGGCAAGGATTCATTTAGTTTCTGTGACAGTAAATACCATCGTAAGACTGGGCGTTTTTAGACATGAAAAAAAAAAAGTTTAAAACAGATGTTTATCTAAGAATTATTGTCTGTTTGCACAGTCTCACCTCCTGCTCATTAAAGAAAAAATCCACAGACAAACAAACAGAACTTTTGTAAGCAAGACAGCGAGTCATTCTAATGCTAGCAGAACCCTGCATAGGTTATTTCTCAGGAGGCTGAAATATACATTTTCCTCCATCAGAGGTCCCAGAAAAAATACATAGAAAAGACTTCTTTTTCTGGTAGATAATAGTGTATGAAATTATCCAAATTAAAGCTGAATTTCAAAGGACAAGGCAAATGAAAGGTGCTACTTAGATACTACTTTAAAGTTATTGCCAAAAGAACCGCTTGATATCTGGCAGATATTTAGCAAGGCTGCTGTTGATTTCAGACGCTTCAAATAAATGCCATTTCCTGTACCTGCTGCTTATCTGTTTAAAAAAGGGAAAAGAGAAAATATTTTTTGATTTTCTATTTTATGTGGTACGTGCTGAATGGATTATTTAACCTTTTGCTTTTCAAAATAAAGAAAAAGTACTTCAGCCCTACTGACCATATTTCTCTAGAAATGTCCAAGTTATCTCCTCTAAGTACAATCACCTTCACACTGCACAAGTTGAATTGAGCAAAATGAGCTGCTTCTGTCAGAAAATAGCCATCTCTGCTTTAAAAAAAAAAAAAAAAGAAATTATACTAATTTAGCTGGTTTAACTGCAATTTGGACATAAATGTTCTGTTACAGGAGCAGATGTAGATATATATAGTGGCATACTCACTTTTTAATAGTTTTTTGTAAATTAGAGTGAGTACCAGAATTGAGGTTTTTTTCTCAGACAAGGTAACGGAGCAAACATTTTATTTCTGAAACTGATCATCCAGTTTGTGGCATGCAAAATAACAGATTCTATTTTTGGGGTGGTTGGAGAAATGCTTCTAAAGATTCCTCACTCTGCTTTGACCTTTTAATCCAATGTGGTCTGAACAGAGAGAGAGATTAAGTTATTCAGGGGCAAATGGGATAATTCAGTCCCCGACCTCATTCAATCTTCGACTTCTCCAGATCAACATGTCATTTGTGCTGGTTGAACAAATTTTTTGGAAATACATTTGATTCAATTAAAGATCTACAGAGCTACCAAAAATTTTCAGACGTTGCATTTATAATGACGGTCAGGAAGACAGAGGAGAACACTAAATACTTTCCCATGTCCCACATATTTTGTTCGTTAGCAAGAAAGAACATTTATATGACATATGTTTTATAAGATGGCTGTGCATTCCAGACCTTATAGAAATCATTGTATATTTCGGACAAAGATACCGGGTATTTTGAAAAGGGGAGAAGGGGTTTTTATTGACTACTGTAGTAGTCGTCTTTTTAGTAACTTGCAGGTATGTACCAATCATTCATTTCAGATTAAACTTTGTATAGTGATATTTAGAAATAACTCAAAGTAGTTATTTGGTGATTGTCAATAAATGATGTTTGCAAAAATTGTATAAAACTTGACCCTCCATCGTTATTCAACTGGGCAATACTTTAAATTAGTCAGTGTGGAGAGCGCTGTCATCAGTGGTATAACTTACACGACTAAGGATTGCTTGTGTGAGTAAAAGTGAAGGACTAGTTTGCTCTTCTTACTATATTGCTTTTTCAGAGTTAATCTTTTGCCCTCCCCTGAGCCTGAAAAGTAGCTGAAACACCTGTATAGTACCTGTGTGGTTTGCTCTGTTTCCTGTCTGCTGAACATATCCCATTTCACTTTCAGGGATCTTTTCATGTGAAGTAATAAATCAAAATTTATTAGTTTGCACTGAATGGATTTTAAAAATCCTTAATATTCCATCATTAAGCATAAGCACAGACGGAAAAAGATTTCTGTAATCTTTTAAGTAGTCATCAATCTTACTACAGTTGCAAGGATTTTTTTTTCCTTTCAAAATGTGAAATTTTTCTTTTGTTACCATACATTCATTGAGCAGCATTGTAATACTGTATTAACTCTGTGTGAATAAAGAGCAATTGAGACTCCCGTTGAATGAATGAGTAAAAAGCACAAATTACTTTTTAATGAAACCCTCAATTCTTCTCCTTTCCACAGAAAGCCCATAGCCTTGTTCAGCTGAATGCTACTACAGTAGGTCACTTCAGTTAAGCCCCTAATAAACTGTTGATAGTCAAGGGCAGTTTTTTCTCCAGTCTCAATAGCCCAGTGTTGGACAGTGCACTTCAAATCATTACGATTAGTAGAGGGTTTTTTTTTAAAAAAAGAGAGAGATTAAGGGTGCTGGTTCAGGCCTCAGTTTACTACCCCCCCAGACACATGTGTTGAACAAGATGCCAGGGTGGGCTGAAGTTCAGTGAAGTTGTGGGCAGGGCAGCAAGTGGGCACTGCCAGTTTGAAAATGGGACGCTGCTCGAACATGCCTTAACTGCGTTTTAAAAATACCCCAGACAAGAGCAAAGTGAGACTTGCCCTCACTCAGCCTGCTTGCAAGGGAGGACCGCTGAGGGGTTGAGAGATTCCACACCAGTCCTCCAGGACCGGGACCTTCGAGAGAATTGGCGGGTCTGTGAGGATGTTTCTGGCAGAAAAACAGCATCTTTCCGTGGTCAAAATACAATTTTAGGGCTTCCACCAATGCAAAATTATGTTCTGTTGGAAATTGTGGTCACAGCAAATACCCCTTCCTGGAAAATACACATTTTGTAATATGTTTTTTTGAGACTGCAGTCTTACAAAAGAGATAGAGATGGAAAAAACACCAGACTCATTCTGAGAAGAAAGTTTCATTTAAATCTTCCATTGTGTTTTAGCTCTTTAGTGCGGGGCTGTTTTCTCCCTAAATCCTCAGCTAAAAGAAGTTACATTTTCCCCTTTCCCCGTGTCCTTCCCTGCTTGTGGTTCCTCTGGAAGACAGGCAGAACACCTCAAGGGTTCAGCTGCTTGCAGAGCCCTGGTGTGGCAGCATGTGTGCCTACAGCGATGTCCTTTTACGTGAAGAAATATTCAGATGGTGCAGTAAAACGTAAAGTGTAGTGGATTCATCATGCCAGTTGGCCTCTGAAATTAATACGCATTCTGTTCACCTAACCCGTATAAGTTTTGGAAAGCAGTAGACCCTTCACCATGACACAGTGCCAGTTTAGGCAATAGTCAGGTAAGCGTATTCCTTCTGCAGCAAAGTTACGTATAGGTGGGTCATGGTGGAAGGCTGCTGGCTTTGCTTGCAGTGCTTGGGTCTCCTTTACCAAGGCAGATGCATTCCTCCTTTTCCTTGTACCACAAAATAAAATTCAAAACCTCTGCCTTATTGTTGACGAGAAGCAAGCAGGGTGGGAAAAGATATGCCACAGGTTTGATCAACTTCAGCGAAGGTCCCATTATTTTAAGGAATAATAGTTAACAACACGGATTCATTAGCAGAGCAAAATCCAAGCTCCGTGTGATGGCCTGCCTAGAAAACAGTTTGTTTTGCTGTCTTTGGGCTTTAATTAAGATGTGTTCAGTTCTAGCCCCCTGGCTCCCCTCTCCCCCTGCCCCCACCCTGCTCCCTGTGTCACAGACCGGTGATCAGACGCTTTCAGATGGTCCAGCCCATGACTTTGACCTTCTGCGCGGTCCGGCGTTCCCTGGGGAACCGTTCAGCTCATGAGGTCTGATTTCACACTTCCAGGATGCCTCGGCTCTCTTAACAATGACAGGGAGACAAAGCCCTTTAGAGCGGGCCGCATGGGGACTTGTTTAAATTGGAAACTAGAGAGGAGTCAAGGAACAAGGTTACAGGCTACAGAATAGTGCTTTTAATAAAGAGCTCACAGCTCTGGTTCAGCTCAAAGAGGGCTACCTCTGTACAATTAATTGAGACATTTATCTGGAGCATCTTAGGCCTCTACTTTCTCACAGAATTATGTGATAAATATCAGCTAAGAGGCAAATGAGATGTGCATGAAATGAATTTTTAACACTTTGATGACTGTGTCTCCAGTCTTCATTAGAAGTAAATTTATTTGTATTTCTGACCTCATTATTAATCAATTGTCTGCGGGTTTTTTTGGGTACCGTGATTTCAGAACCTGCTTTATCAAACGGTTTTTACTAAAGAACTCTGTGATATTTAGGTTTACAGTCAAAAGATTTTCAGGCTTTTCCTCCTCTGAAGAACAGAAATTAAGCATAGAAAATGAGGCAGAATTTTTTTTTTTTCTTCTTTTTCAGTTTTATGTCTGGAATTCAGCCTCTCTGCTAAGAAAATTCCATGTTAAAATTTTGATTAAAGTACTTGAAAGTAGGGTGAAGATACCAAGGTGGCTAAATGTTCAGAATCTAAATGAGTTTTCTAAAATCTGTTCTACTAAAATGTCCTAATACCACATGTGTAAAAATAGTCTTTGAAATTGTTCTTCAAATGCTAGGAAATGTCAGAGTGATGTACACAAACGTTAAATTCACAAAGGTATGGAAGCCCATGCATGTAAAATTGAAGGAATAAATTCAGAGGCCCTTTGGAAATACGATTCCAAAAGTAATTTGCTCTGTCAATTAGTGCAACCAGATTTCAATATACACTTGAATTATCTTCACAAAGTACAGAAATCTACTAGATGGGCAGTATTCTGTGGTAGATAAAATCTAACCTGGTCCAATCATATAGGTTGCCTGAAGACATCAGTCCAATATCATGTACTGCAAAACTCTCTTTTTTAAGAAAGTAGCAGTTTTAGGATGCTAATGGCAAAATTATGATTTAAAAGACTTGGTTTTTTGTAGTTAACTATAGCATTTAGGGTTAAACATACAGTGAAAGGATGAATTGTGATTATTAGCATTATTTTTTTTTTTTTATTCTGTACGTATTCTGTGGAAACGAGTTTAACAGGAGAGTGGCACTACACTGAATCGCCTGGTAAGGCATCTCATGCATTCGTTATGTC